ATATATATATATACATATGTGGGTATTGATGTTCAAAGAAATCACTTTCCATCCGCCCGCAAAACCTATGCATAGCAAAGAAATCACCTTCCATCCGCCTGCAAAACCTATGCATAGGTATCCATTCTGAAATACGAGAAACATATGGTCGTCAGATTGCCGCTGACCCACCACTAGAACAGGATCTACAACAGCAACAGCACGCCTTCACTTTGGAAGGTCACACTTTTGGTCGTCCATCTACTGACCTTGAGCTCTCAAATGTTTGAAGGTCTAGACCTACTGGATCGTTGCGCCTGGCTACCTAAGTATTCTTGGTCATGCGCATTTCGACTTTCACGTCATGTAGCTGTAGTCGGCTCATATAGCTGTAGGCAGGCAAGGCTGGCAGGCAGGAATATCCTGGGCTGGAATTGCAGCACGGTAGAGCATAAGGTGTTATGCCACATGAGTTGAGAACATGGAGCGCTGAGGGTTTCCATAACTTGTCCCCTGGAAGGCAATGATGATGAAAGTGCGAGCCAACAAGCTGCATTATTGAGGTGTCATTATCTTGATGCTGTAAGGCACAGAAAGGCTCAAGTCCATTGTAGTGTTGATGTTGACAAGTCATTATTCAGGGGAAGGGCTTGTAGCATTTGTCGCCTCAGAGTAATATTTGCGTTAGAAGAAGAGATGGTAGTGCCGCCGCTACTGCTGCTGGTGGTAGTGCTGGTGGTGGTGCTGGTGGTGGTGGTGGTGGTGGTGGCGGCGGCGGTGGCGGCGGTGGCGGCGGTGGCAGTGGGGGTGGCGGTGGCGGTGGCGGTGGCGTAGTGGTGGTAAAGTAGTGGTAGTAGTGGTAGTAGTAGTGGTAGTAGTGGTGGTAGAGGCAATGATAGTGGTAGTGGTACTCCTCCTCCTCCTCCTGCTACTACTACTACTACTACTACTTCTACTTCTACTTCTACTACTACTTCTACTACCACCGCGTCCACTACTACCACTACCATTACTACTACTATCACCATCGCTCTAGCCCGCAACAGTACTACGGCGCCAACAGCAAAACATTCCTTGTTTTGGGTTTCTCAGGTGCCGGGAGCACTCCCGCAGCGCCTGCGGGCCGCGCGAGCGGCCGGCGACGCGCGGCGAATGGCGGCCGCACTGCGTGAGGCGGATTTGTCAATTGGGGCCAGCAGGGCGGCGGGTGTGCGGCATGTTGGCTGGAAGATCTTTAGGGTTTCAAGCGTTTTCAGGCGACTGATGCAGGTGTGGGATTGGGTTCCAGGGAAGTGTGCAACGTTTTACGGAAAACCAGTTGATGCCACCTTTGGTTCTTCTCAAGGGAAGTACCAGGAGCCGACCTGTTTGGTAGAAAAGTTTTGTTGTGGTCCCAGACAGCTTGCAGATTTCAAATCAAGCTAGCTCCGGTCAGCGTCAAGTTGTCTCACTATTTGCGCTGATGAGAGCTTGAGGGCTTTGGCTCATGTGACTTCTGAGAGGTTTCAGAGCAAAGGAAGAGGGAGTCCAGCCGTCCAGCCTGTACAGTATATTTCAGCTTCCAGGCAACCACAGGTACATGGGCTTTATAATGTTCCTCTACAGTACTTAGACAGAAGCAAACCCTAAAGGTTGCAGTTCGAGATCCCAAGCCGAAGGCGCTGACACCAGACCTGGCCGGAACCCTGCACGAGGCTGGGAGACGACTGCGAACTAGGAGCCATACGGTTTAGGGCTAACAGGTTCCACAGCATTAGGGTTGCTGTACATAGGTTCTGCAGAGTTAGTTGATTTGGATAAGTTTCCAAGTCCGGGACTACATCAGCATCAGAAGACTTTGCAAGGAGTGCGTGCTTGCAGTAGCTTTTCTGAAAGGACAGGACCAAGGCCACAGCCGAAAGTCCTCTGTAAGATCTGCTCTGAGACTGCTCTGTGTTTAGGATTTAGATTTGAGAAGCAGCAAAGTTCAAGGGATTTCCATGCGTGTACTGATTGCAAGCAGATTAACTTAATTAGGGGCAAGGGTCGAGTCGTCCAGTGGTACTCGGGTTGTCTGCTGGGCATGCAGTGATGTATCCCGTAGTAATCATGGTAAATATTAACAGTATTAAACCTGGTACAGGGCGGCCAGAGCTGCTACTTGGGGCTATATTGGGGTTACTAATGGGGCTTATATATGGGGATAATGGAAAAGAAAATGGCAACTACTAGGAGTACAGGGATTCTATAGGGTATATATATATAGGGAGTATGGGGAACATAATGGGATTACATTGGGGGAATGGAAAAGAAAATGGAACTACTATATTATAGGGTTATATTGGGGTTATAGGGAACATAATGTTTTTTTTGGGGATAATGGAAAATAGAATGGAAACTACTGTTAATGGGTTATATAGGGATTATAGGGTTATATTGGGGTTATAGTCTTAGCTTCCTAACACCTCGAGTTTACCCAATCCTCGGCGACAGGATGCGGAGGAGGCAGAGGCCGATGAACTTGCCGAGGAGGCTGTCCAGCGGGGGTCAGAGGTACTTTTCGATTTCATGGAAGGGGTAAAATCCTTATGTAACCCATTATCAGTAGTTTCCATTTTATTTTCCATTATCCCCAATATAACCCCTATTATATTCTCCAAACGGTGATGGGAACCCATCCCAGGTCTGCAAAACATTGCAGACCATCTCGTGCAGCAGCGCATCTTCCAAGGCTCCTTGGAGGAAGAGGGATCAAGGAGTGGGAAGGCATCCCGTGTGTCGTAGTTGTGGTTGTGAGTATGAAGCCTCGCAGCAAAGCATCAAGATTAGAAGCGAGAAGGGCCAGACCAATCAGCCAAGGCAATCAAGGCAATGCAGGCATCGTTCGGCGAGAGCTGCCTCTTTCTTTCCGGCGGCGGCATGCTGGGCATGTACCACCTAGGCCTGGCCAGCAGTTCTTAAGCTTCATGGGAGGGGAGCACATGGGGAACAACCGCAGTTGGGATGGAAGCACGCATTTCTAGAGGCACAGTGCGACAGCTTCTAGACGACGATCTGCTGCCAGAGCATCTCTGCGGAACCTCCGTCGCCTGGCAACTTTAAGTCGCGCAACGTCGAACGATTACAGCTGATATTGCGACTGTAAGTGGCGGCATGTTCTGATACTCCAAGCAGCAAAAGAATAGGTTCAGCTCAAGAGATTCTTGCTGTGGGTTGCTTTTGATGCTGTCCGGTAGCTGAGGTGGGCTCTATCGTCGGTGCTTTCGTAGCAACGCGCACGGACAATGAGCTCAGAGAGGAGCTCAACACCCTGGAGGAGAAGCAGTACTGCCTCAAAAAGGAAGGTGACCGACATGTCATCCCGTTTACGTCTGGGTCTTGAACAGCAGAGCTGCCTTACAGCAGCCGTTGTTTCCTGCACAGCTGCAGAGATTAGATGCCAGAGCAGATGCACATGATGCATCTAGCCAGCATAGCCAGCAGAGGACCCTGACAGATATTGACAGCAGTCCGCGCAGGAGTGGTACAAGCAGATGGGGCCCGAGGAGGGCCCTTTCCCTGTGCCATACTGGGAGGTGGGTCGATTCGTGCTTTGTTTGGGAAGCTGTGCCATGGCATTGGGCAGGTTGTCGTTCGAGTGCTCTGGCGAGGCCCCTTGACCCCATAGCTCTGGAGTCGTTGCGGGGATGAGAGTCGAGGTTGTTCAAATGCGTATTTGTGTTTTTGTTCTTTGCTGCCGGCTGCTTTCTGTTCAGCCAGGCCCTTTATCATCTCATGGCATTTCCTTGCGAGAGGAGACAAAAAAATCACCTCAAGAAACAACACACGTTCCCAAGACAATTCGCGAATCCAGAGACTGCCCGGTGCAATGAGGTTATATCTACGACTACATGAACCAGCAACCTGGCAGGAATGCAAATGTCGATGTGCTTAGGATTGGCAGGCCTCGGTGCACCTGCATTCACCACACCATATCAGCGACACTTTGTCCAATTTTTTTCTCGGCTTCAAGCTTCAAGGAAAATGTTCTCTCTCACCCAAAAGTGCGATCGGCAGCACTGGTGATGGTAACGTTTGTAGCGAGTCGCTCGCACGACACAACCTCTCTGTTTTGCTTTCAACGCTGCACATTCCTTCCTGAAATCATACGCCTACTCTCCCTCATCAGCAGTTTGAAGCGAACTTGGCACCAGGTATCGCAACCAGGCCACATTCGTCTCCGTGGGCTTGACTTTCGCGGAGGCTTTTGAGAGAACGGGCAGGCCTGGAGCCCGCACTCCCAGAAGAAGAGTCGTATTAGCCTTGAGAATGATTGTCAGAATCGTCGGTCTGCAGCCAGAATTAGCAGCTTGAGTGATGCTGAGGTGGTTCCAATTGCTATAGTCAAGTCAGAGAAGTCGAGGAACAGGATATGCGAGCATTCAAGAAAGCAGCAGGACATTTACAATCACCTGCACGCCGACTTGCGGCGGGCCCCTCCTGTTGCTCAACAGGCTTGCTGGAAGTTGTGTCATTCGTGCGGCAGAGATGCATGCATGCTACCCAAATGTCAGCTGTTTGCAGATGGATTGGACGCAAGCACCCACTGTTGCAGAAGCATGCATCTTTCCCAGGCATACAGCGCCCACGGTTCTCATCGCCTCCGTGCCTTCGGCAGAAGTGAGGCTTCTTGAGCTAGAATTTTGTGCAAGCGCTCTTGCTAGAGTAGCTTGCATCACAAACACGAGCCAGGCCTTGGGTACTTGAAAAAGCTATCCACTTCCTTTGTCGGGGGGTTGGGGTAGTTCAACTTTCTATTGTAAACAATGTGAGCTACAGCTACGTAATTGTACAAACAAAAAGCTGACAAAACTCGATGACCTAAAGCTTTGAAAGGAGGTCCCTAGTCAACGCCTTCATCCAGGTGTCTGCTCAAGCCCAGCCCAGGCAGTCTGCGCCTCCTCGTCCATGCCGATGCTGGTACAGGTGCTTGGAGACTGCCCGAAAACTGGGGGGTTAGAAGCGAGGATATTTTTGCATGTTGTACTCATTTTGACAGGATAGGATTCATTGTGGTGTGGTAACTCGAAGAGACTCCTAACTTGAAGACTGGCACGTGGCTCCTGCTGGCAGTTGGCACTACGAGTCTCTTCCCTGAGCGGTTCCTTTCTTGGGGCGAGGCCGTCCGATTGCTGGAGAAGGCTCCGGACGGCTCCGTGAGGCCGTGGCCAGGCCGGGCAACAACATGGAACTGCCCGGAAACGTGCACGGAACTTGTGAAGACGTAGGGTTCAGACGAGCTAAACATACTTTACATGTCAGGTCCTGACAGGTGTGTTTGCATATAGGTAGCTCAATTGAGATGACACGGAAGACAGCTTTCTCGGTCCTTGTTGATCACCGCACACGCCATGGCCCATGAAATGAAGTTGCGACAACGAGCTAGAACATGGTCTTAGCATGTCGACATTGGCTGTGGAATTTCGCGGTTCAGTGAGCCATGCGGCAGGCTTTTCCTCTTTGAAGAAGCAGGTATAGGCAGGCCAGAGCAGTGCCCGTGACAGGTGTTGCGTCCCTCGTCCGTGATGGCACCATGTTGGCTGACTCTCCATGCCATGAACTCGCCGACATGTTGAACACGACACATGGCCGCAACTGAAGCCCTTGACAGAACCCCAATCAGCATTCAGTGGCGCTGACTTGTTGTAAGTTTTAGCTAAATGAATTTCAAATTTCAGAGCGAAGCGGAGACAATCCTGGAGCAACACACGTCAGTCACCGCCTGTGAAAGCTGCGCTTGTGGCAGCCTAGGCGGTGGTCCATCATCTCGCAGGTCACTGCACTCAGCTTGCCGATCGATCCATCAAAACAGCTCACGCTGACGAGGAATCAGGATGAATTCTAGGACTTTTGCTACAGTCCATTTTCGTTGCGGTCATCTTCCATGCACCAAGGTCAATCCGCATGTCGTGCCGATGTCCCTGCCGTTTTTGTTTGCCAACTGCCTTAGGCGGAGCTTGAGAGCTGCTTGGCTTTTCATCGGAGCTTCTTTGTTGGGAAATGGGACCGCGCCAATGAGTGGCAGAGCATGATAGAGGAAGCGGAAACCAGCAGCAAAATTAGATGCACCTCTCCAGCTCCTCTAGTTGCGACGTGCAGAGATTTGCATTTGAGACGCCGTGTTGCCGTCATTGTCAGTCCTTGAGGCTTGCGCAAGTTTGGGCGCTGCAGAGCCTATGCTCCGCAGGCAGATGCTGACTTGCCAGGATTCCAATCATTCCGGGGGCCCAGATTGTAGAGGCTTTAGTTTAGGCCTTGCAACGAGAGCCTACTGGGAATCTGGCCGACCTACTCGGAGGTGCATCTGGACGACGCTGCATACACTGCAGTCCTGGACTGGACTCCCCAGACGAGGCCTGCAAGCTTCCGAAGGTTACTTGGATTGCTTATCAAAGAGTTGATTCCGAGAGGCGGCTGGATTTACAACCTCCTTTTCCAGGACTACTTTGGAGATGCGTCCTGGCTGCACTATGATGACATGTCAGCATGGCAGTGTAGCAGCAAGTGCCAACCTGAGGGAGGGACTCTCTGCACCTGTGTCCAAGCCCGACGGGTATGAACACAGCACGCAGGTGTTGCTATCTGAGGTCAACATTGTCCACGATGAGATGCGCTTCATCGACTATGTCCGGGTGATAAAGAACGAAATTAGCATAGAGGACCTCCAGAAGAAGGTCCGGCTTAGCTCTTTTTTGCTGGGCAAGCGGACGTTTGCTTTTTTGTATGTGACAGGCATTTCTGGGCGCAGAGAGAAGCAGCCAACCTCTTCAGCGACAGAAGTTGCGAACCAAAGTTGAGGCAGCTGAGGGCACGTTGGGTAACTCTGAGCAATAGCTGCTTTGGTTGTCGTGCGAGGAGCACAGAAATTGAAGGCATGTGCAGCTGCACTTGGGGTGCAAAGTTGCCCCGTCTCATGAACACAGCGACTGAGCTACTGAAGGCGGCCTTGCGAGCAGCGTCCACGGCAAGTGCCATTGCGCCTGCCAGCACACCGCGTCGGCCAAGAAGAGCTCTTGGGTGTGGGTCTGAGTCTGGTGCCCTCACCCGCAGACCTACTGACTGAAGTCAATTCGGGTCCTTCTGGTCTGCAGAGGCTGCAACGGGAGCAAGTATGGGGGACTAGGAGACATGAGCTTGGAATTTGTTGCTTCCCGCACTTCAGGCGAAGAACGCGTGTGTGATGATGCCCGCCACTTGCTCACTGAACTAAGTGGCAGCTTTTTCAGTAATTGGAGTTGGATATGCGACATGCATTACCGGTTTCTCTGGTGCTATCCGATTTTCCTAGCAGATGGCGCCACCTCTTTGCAATGTCTTCATTCTTGCGTAGACCGCACCCTGCGACCTTACTTTGCAAGTTCTGGATTCATTCTTTCCCACAACTGACGTGTCGCCGGGTCGCGCATGGCCACTGTTGCTAGTGGTCTGCCAATCTGAGAGTGCTTCCAGCCTTTGCCTTTTCCCACTAGCGTAGCAAGCCATAAGTTGCTCGTATCTCTGAGATAGAGGCCCCAGTCATGCAGCACTCTTCAGGCACATTAGAGTCCTGCTAGCAGGCAGTACACCACCGTGTGGTTGTGTGCGGGCAACTTCCATGGCTGGATGAAAGAGATGCACGAAGACGCGGCCGTGTGGCTTAAACTGCACGGCCGCGTCAGTATTCGAAGGAGCTGTTGGCCTTGCTGGCCATGGCTAAGTCTTGAAGCTCCAAGCGGCTGGGGATTAAATTGCAAAGACTTGCATTCCTTCAGCGTCGTGAAGCTGTTTCCAGGTTCATGGCTGCTCTTGGGGTTCAGAGTTTTTGGATGATCTGCACGCTTCTTCGTGATGCCGCAGTCCAGTGCAGTGGCCAACTCTTGAACCGGGAGATGTGAGGGATGCCCAGCTTTCATGGCTTGTTCCTCTTGGCTTTTGGCCTGGAAAGGCAGGAAAGCTAGGCCAAAGATAGCGCACCCCTCACTTTTGCTGCCAACAGTCCTGGTGACGGCGCACCAAATGGCAAGTTTTACTGCAGGCTCTTCGGAATTTCATATAGCGATGCACTTCCTTTACAGAGGACGCCGGGAGCTCGCGAGAAGTCCAAAAGCTGCTGGAAAACCAAAGGGCCCCTACTGCTAGTACGATGGCCTGCTGGTAGTAGACGAGCCTTTGAGTGTCCTCGTCCTGCCAGCAAATGACCACATGCCATCACCAGTGCCTTGCCATGATTTCCCTGACTCATTTGCGAAGGTCCCGATGTAACGGCTGCTGATGGCCTTCTCATGGCGGCTGATCAGGGAGGCCTCTGGAGGTTCGGCTGGCATCTTGGACCTTGGATTGGAACATGTCTGGCTTAGCATCTGGATACGCCTTCTGGTGTCCGTCATTCTTGGTCAACTATGCCCTTGCAGTCGTGCATTGCCACCTGCCAGGGAGGCGTTAGCCCTGCTCGCAGCACGAATCCGATGTGGGCCCCGGCGAGGCCCACAGCTATCAGGGCTTTTTGAGGATGATGGGTGAACATGTTGTTGGTGATGACCTTGGCTTAGTGGTGTTTCTAGAAAACTTTTCCTGGTGGCTTGAGGCGCTTTTTGAGATTCTCTGGTTTTGACTCCTGGTGATTGACACAGGGCTTCAGTTGGCTTGGGTTCAGCACACCGAGATGCACAAGACCGCCATTGCTTGCAATGGCAGGATTTTTGCTTGCAGATACAATTGTGAGCATGAGATGTACTACCCGGAAGCACAAGTTGCTGTACATCACAGCAGGCCGCGCTGTTGCAGCCAAAGCCTTCAGCTAGGCCTATGGGGGGCTGGGTGGCACAACGTTTTTATATGTGGACTGCAGGCCCGGACCGCACTCGTTTGGCCAGGCACCTGGGAACATAGATCAAGTGCACATGTCCGCGTCGCTGCAGTGTCAGTGTGAGTCTGTGCTGTCAAGCTAGACAGTCCCTGCCGCTCTTGGGTATAAAGCAAGATTCAGATGCTTGGCTTGAAGGGTGAGGCTGCCATGTATTGCCTCGGCACTTGCAGTCCAAGAGCTCCACCTGCTCTGGGCTCTGTTTGAGGCATGTCTGTGCCAGCCTGAACGCTGGAGTGCACCCTTGCGAACCTTTTCTAGGATGCTGAGGTGCCAGCAGAAGAAAGAGTGAACCTCCAAGACTTGCAGTTGTGGGTGTTTTACACCAGGGCTCTAGAAACAGGGATTTGCCTGCGCAATCCTGCGCACCCAGTAATCAGGGTTTGCGCCGAGGGGCTGCGATCGGTGCCTGCTCGCGAGGCACAGCTAAGGGCAGTTCCACATGGAGGGTGAGACAAATCCTGAAGCGCGAAAACCGTGCCAGGGTCAATTCGTAGAAGCTTGGTGTTTGCGAGCGCATTGCACGTCGTTGCATGCAAACTCTTTTAAAGCCTCCTTTTTGGAAAAATTGGTAGCTTCCATTAGCAACTGCATCAAAAGTGTAAGAAAAGTCCGAATTTGGGAGGTCTGGCGTGGCAACAGGGCGTGGAGCTCTTGCAAAAGCCTCTTGGATGCAAGCAAAAGCCCCAACTGCTGGATCAGCATTCTACAATTCTGCTGCGCTGAGGATGCTGCGGAAGAAGCTTCGCACGGACCTATGGGTTTGGAGTACGGTCCTCGGCCCTTAGGGTCACTGGAATCTGCCACACGAGGACCAGAAGCAGGCGCAACAAATTTCATGGTTCATTTTTAGAGCGACAGTGGAAAGTCGCTGGGAGAGACATTGCCGACACCCACTAGTCATGCTCTCGCAGGTTTATCAATCAATCATCCAGAGCTCCAGGTGCGGCGATCAGTGCCAGTGAGAAGGCCGGCCCCCGCTTGCGGTCTGTACTCGTGGCTCCAGTCAGGACAGCGACGGACAGTGCTGATTACAGAGAAATACCAGTCCTTCACCTCCATGGAATTTCCAACAGCAACTTCCAGCATGTTTTGGCCGCTGACGTCAGCCCTGGCATGCCACTAAGGGTCACGCCTGGCGGCTGGCGGTCAGTTATCTCCGTGACGTACGCCAGAAAGCAGGTCCACGCTCGCAGTGCGTTTGGTAAAGTGTTCTGGCTAGCCTCGTCTTGACTGCCATTCTACAAGAAAGAGCCCCTACCGGTTCATAAACTAGTCAGACTAGTCAGTGGTCATGCCACGTTTTTTTGCGCCAAAATCTCGACAGGGCTTGTGATAGTGGCTGCAGAAGCGCTGGTCTTGCCATACCTTTTTCTATTTTGTCCAATCTTGAGCCTCATCTTACTGCCGCTGTGCCAGCCACGAGTAACTCTTGCAACACTTGATTTTGGCTACCAGTATGATTCCTGAAGCATCAGCAATTGCAAGAACAGCGGCCACAGCAGCGGCAAAAGCAATTCCTGCTGCCTATTGTCTGTTTTGATGAGCCCGATGTCGTAGCTCGTAGCGGTATGACGTCAACGACAAACCATTGCCAGTCTGCTGCTAGCGCCGCTACCGCGGCGGCCGCCGCATCGCAACCACCTCCACAACCGGTGCGGGGCACCACCGCGGCGGGCGCAGCCGCCGCGCCTCCCCCACTGCCTCCAGCAGCACCACCCACGCCACTCACGCCACCCACACCGCCGCCACCACCACCGCAGCCGCCGCCGCTGCTGCAGCCATGACAGGGACGGAAAGTACTGGCACCATCTCCCACCGGTGCCAGTACCACTACATTATTGATGCTGTTGTCGCGCGACCACCTTGGCAGCACCAAGGCTTGAAACCCGATGTCGCGGTGCGCCCTCACATGCTTCAGAACGATTTCTTGTTTGCGTATAAGGTCGACTTCAGTCAGTATTGCACAGAGAATGGACAGCCATCCTTCAACTCAGACCCTCGCCAGGTATACAATGCTTGCATCAGTGCTTGTGAGAAAGGGCAGCAGCCCCTGGGCTGATGTTGGGATTGTGCAAGCGGCGCTACACCATAACAAAGGCCGTGCACATCCGTGAACTTTGATCAGTGCTCATAGTATTGGTAAGTGCTGGGGCGCGTCCGCCTCGGCAGCCGGGCTGGCAAGGAGGCCAAAACGTTGCAAAGCAAGTATTTGTGTGAAGAGTCTGGCAAGGCTTGGGGGGTGGGGGATGGCCCCCTACACCCAAAGCCAGAATCCTGTGGAGGGGGGTCAGGCCGCATAATTTTGGGCTGGGGGAGAGGGTCAGCTTGTTCCAGACGCCGATCGGCCAGAGGCTGAGGTGAATTAAATGATGTCCGGGTCAAATACCATTTTCCGGATCACTCACGGCAGATGTGTCGCTGGGAAGCCAGACTGCAAAGCCAGCAAAAGGTGGGAACATGCAGTTGCTCTCTTCTCCGAGATGCCCTACAAAAAGGTGCAGCCTGACATCGTGCCCGAGATGCATTCAGGATTCTTGCTGATCTACAGCTTTCTATTGCCAGCAGCTGAAGCCTGCTAATTCCAGCCCAGGTCAGCTACAACTCCACTGCTGGCTTCTGAGCTGTGTCTTTCTAGGCACGTTTGCGAGCCTGCCATGATTTTCCTGTGTTTGCCCCTGCGGCTGTCTGTGCTTCTGGCTGCTGGCCGTTTCGAGCCTGAGGTCAGCGCTTGCGAAAAAAGCCAACGCTGGGCTGAGGCAAACGTGTCAGTCAGCTCGCTGCTGGCACTAGAGTGCATCAGATTTTGCTTCTGATAGCCAAAGCTCGCAGGAGGAGCGCCACCCGCCAAGTGCTTCCCTGACTCCCAACTGTTTAGGCACTTCATCTGGTCGGGCTTCTGGAGACGAACAGCATGGAAGGCGCCTCCTTGCATGCTTCACACCTTCCGGAGAGCAATTCAGCAGATGTTCACCATGTAAACAGAATGAATGCAGAGAGAGTAAGCACGAACAATGCCCGCGGTCTCAGGCCGCTGCTTTGACCCAGCAGCACAAGTGGCATACAATGCCCTGTCACCTGACTGATGATAGACCGGTTGGCAGATGTTAAGATGTTCATTCTGTGGGAACAGATTTTGAGCCAGGCCCTATTTGGGACGGCTGGTTCACGTGGTGACAATTGGTTGCGGGGGAGCAGAGAAGGGAATCTGCACAGCATCCTTTTCGTTGCCTTGAGTCGGCGGTCAAACGGGCAGGTTTCAGAGCTGGGAGCGTGAGAAGATGGCTTCAGGCTCGCGGCGTTCGCGGGTTCTGCTGCCTGGGCGCCCGTGCCTCATTT